TGAATGAAATAATTTAATAAAAATTTCAGGCACGGTTACAGGACTTGCAATGGAATATCTTTTTAGTGAACTACAACTCAGTGACATCGATTTTAGTGATCAAGCAGAGTATCAGTGCATTGTGCGGAATCATTATGGATCGGCATATTCTTTGAAGTAAAAGTTTGAATTTTATATCAGTTTTTATACCACATTAGTAGTTTACTGAAAAGAGATATTCTCCATAATATGCCGATATTCTCTATAATATGCCGATCCATAATATGCCGATTTTTTTAGTAGATCGAACGCATTTATTCTATCAAAGCCAAAAGTAGCTATGACAAAAAATTTTCTTTTACTAAATAATTTTAATAATTTTCTTGTTTATAGAGTAAAATTAATAGTTCTGCAAAAACCGCGAATTGATTATTCACCATCGAACGTGTCTATTGTTCGTGGTGGAAGCGCTAGGTTAAGGTGTGCTGCACGAGGTAAGTGTTTTTCTTAAAACGTTTTTGTATAACCGTTTTTACCTTATGGAGTGTGAAATAACGTATTTTTAAACAGTTTATAATACTTTATAGTTGTTAGTGAAGTGCCCTTTTTTTAGATATCTTTTCTTTTGTTCCTTTTTCAGTTTGCCTCTCTCTACTTTAGTTAAAATAGCTATATTGGTTTTAATTTATGTTTTTTCTATATTCAAGTTTAGCTACTATTCCTTGTTTGCAAATTTTTTCTCAGGCGTTCCGGCACCAGTTATTAAATGGATGAAAGATGGTGGCGATTCATTTCCGGCTGCTGTGGAAAGACGTTTACATGTGAAAGCTAATGATGATAATTTATATGTGGTCAATGTGTCATTAGCAGATACGGGTATTTATACCTGTCGTGTGAGTAATGAAGCTGGACATGTAGAAAGTTCGGCACATGTTCTTGTTTATGGTAATCATGTTTTGCTTACGGTTTTTATAAACCTTTTTTGGCTTATTGGGAAGTAGTATGTCAAAATTGAATTTTTTGTTATGTTGTGTTGTGTTTTAATTTCTATTTTATAACAAGTTTTGATTTTTTTAATACTTAAACCTTTCTTTGTTGCTTTACAGATAACAAAATCTGGCCACAACTTGAGGATCGTAAGGTACATTCTGGAGCGACGGTGATTTTCAATTGCTCAATCAGTGAACAGTTTCGCGTGTCAGTGCAATGGTTACGTGATGGTCGTTTAATTGACCCCAGTACAGCTCCTTCACGTCTAGCCTTTAAAGCTGGCAATCAGTTGCTGGTGCTAAGTGAGGTAAATCAAATTTCAGTTTAAATTTATCTCTTTTTTTATATGTTTTTTTTAGAAGCAATGTTTATTTTCTCATTAAATTTTGAAAATAAATCCTCAAATTTCAAAATTCTGCGATTTTAATTCCAGGCACGAGCTTCAGACAGTGGTGTCTATGGGTGCGAATTTAAAGTAGGTAGTGAAGTTCTTTCACGAGTGTCCTCGACGTTAGTTGTTGAAATCGGTGCTGAAGAGGACTGGAATAAGAGACGTGAAGATATTAATAAGATTCCGGTTGATAGAAGTTTACAATACTCAGTTGTTATTTGCGCCGTCACCTTAGTTGTACTGGCTGCTGGAGTGTGCTCTATAATCTTCCTCATGGCAAAGCGAAAAGAGTCGAGACAGTATTCTTCTGTAAAGGTTGGCGAACTTTTTTGCGTTAGTTGCAAAGTTTGCTTTTGTTAAATTTCTTGAGGAAATTTCATTCCCGAAGAGACCACGAGTTTTGAAAAGTTCATAATGCTGAAACTAAAGATTTATATTTAGGAAGTTTTATATAAGGAGTACTTGTGCCTCATGTTATTTTTCAAACAAAACTCTATTTCTCATATGTTTTAGAGTGATTCGGCTACAACAACAATTGAGAAGCAACCCACGAGTGAAAGAGATAGTGGCGTGTTAACGGAAGCAACTCAAGTTTACGTAGTTGTTTAAGCATATTTCATCCTCTTCTCTTGCTAATGGAAATGCGCTAAATTATATTATTTTTTAAATTCACCTCACGCATTATAAAAATGTACAATAAGAGAAGTTTTTTGAAAATTTTTGATAATTGTTTTTGAATCCTCTTTTATTAATAGTACTTTCATTATTTATTTATTTATAATTTTTAATTTTGCCATTATTAAATCTTTAGTTATTTTGTTTTATAAAATTTCCGTGTTCTGTTACATTAGGGAAAAGGATTGATTATATTTTTTTTCCTTGGGCCTCATCATATTTGCTTGTACGTAAAATTAAGCTTTAATACTTTGTTCACTTTGTTAGCTTTAAAATTCTGGATAATTGTGTCTTCCAAAAAAAAAGAACTATTATGATCTACTTCATATATCTTATTCTCTAACAACTTACTACCCATGCCTAGCTGGTATGGTTCAGCTGTAGAACTCTCTTGTATGGTTTAATCGCTGAATCATTTGATTTGGTTTAAACTGCATATCTGTCGACGATAGCTTTGATTAAATGCGTGGAAAGTTACTAGTGAGACTTTGATCCTTATTTGATATCTTTCATGCGATTAAAGCTAGATCATTTTTTAGTTCACCTCAATGGATTGCTTTAGCATTTTATTTTTTTTCGATATTTTCTTGTATACAAGTCAAACATGCTTTACGAATTCTTGAATTTAAATTTTGTCTTTTCTAGTCATTTTATTGCTGTTTAATGTTGCTTTTAAAACTGTTTGTGTATAACTTCAAATTGCTTGTTCAGCTAGGAAATGCATTTTATTTCCTTGCTTATTTTCAATATTCAAATTACAGCAAGCAGTCATTGCTGAAAGAGATATGCTGTTTGTAGTATTCGAGAATTCGCCTGTACTGAGGTTTTGTTATTTTAGGCCTTACTAGGATAAGCTCATTTTGTTTATTTTATTGATTTAATTCACAATCTATATTTGTATTTGTTCTCTTCGTTAAGTTTTATCACCCTTATATTATTACAGTTTTTCATTGTTACAGTTATTGTAGCAATTTCGACAGATTTATACAAGCAATAGGTGAATATACTCTTTTAAAGGGGCTTTTCACACAGTGCATTTTAATAATCGCAAAGGAGAAATTCCACTTTAGGTTTTGGTACTATATCCAGAAGTTCTACTTAGGAATTCAGCTTCATTTTGAATAAAAAATTCTAATTTGTATGATTTTTATTGCCGAAAACACCTGCCTTTATTTGTTCGTCAGGCTTTTTGTGTATATACCACATTGATTTCTTTTGTTTTTTCTGTAGTGTGAATTGGAGAATACTATTTCTCTGGAATTCCCCTTTGGGAAATTGAAATATTACCCTCTTTCATGCATTGTTTTTTCCTCATGAACTCCCTGTAGAAAATTTAAATTTTTTTCCTTTTCTACAAGCATTAATTTTTTTTCATGTTGCACTTTTGATTATTAGATCGAATTTCAACCAGCACTAAGTTGAAATTAGTTGATAAGAATTTTTCTGTAATAATACTAAGAAACTTTTGAGATTTTAATGAAAAGTTTTTGAGATATCAGCAAGTTTTGGTAATTTCATTAATTGATTCATGAGCTTTAGTAGGACATTGATCGCCCTATTCCTACATCTCACTAATCTTTCTAAGGAAAAACAAGAAACCGGAGCTGATTTGACGCATAATTTGCACTGTATTATGTGATTTGATTTTCATAGGTTGCTAAAGAGTTCGTTATGTTGCGCTTATAGACAAGTGAGGAGAACATTTCCAGTCATTAAGGATCATAATTTGTAGTTTTTTAATTAAAATGACTAAAGTTTCAAAATTTAAGTCAGTGGATCCTTAAAACTTTAGCTTCAGTGCAACTTCAAATTTGTCAATGCTTTTTTCTATTTTTCTCAACCGTATGATGAAGTGATAAAATAAATGTATGTGGAGGAAGATTCATGTCTTGTTGAATTTCGGATTTTAACCGGTCATTAATTGATTGCTTCTCATATTTTTAACTAATCTAATCTTTGACAATTACTATACATCCCTCGGATAAGTATTACTTGCTAAAGTTGGTTGTCCAAGCAGTATCGGGTTAGAGCTTACATTGGACGGTCCTTTGATTGTTCTACAGCATAGAAAAAATGGAAGATGAAGTTGTTTGATTTTTGAAATTTTGAATTTCATCCGAGATTCGAATTAGTATCCAGTGAGATATGCGTTGCCTCAAAAACTTTACAGATCATTGGCTAGAACTGTTTTTAAGCAATTCTGCGATTCTTTTAGTTAATATCTTTGCTAATTCACTCATTTCGCTAGTAGCAGCTATTTCAAGAAACATTTGAAGGCTGTATAGGTTTTGAAATCTTAAACCATATTCTCACCTATTTTTCATTTTAGGTTTGTCTCAAACATGTTTTATCGAAATTAAGTCCTACTGTGCGACTTTATTTTGATAGTATTTACATGGAGTTATTCGTCATAAAAATTATTTACCATGTGTCCCACGCTGTTTTTATTCACTTTTTGATACAGGTAAGTGCTTAATTTTGTGATTGTATGTGTTACAATGTCAAAATTTATGTTGTCAGAATGTTTATGTCAGTTATATTGAAAAAATATGAAGCGTAAGATGGGAAAAATCAGGATGGAAGGTAAAGTTTTTGAAATGTACGACCAATCTCTTCTCATCGTTTTATTTTACTACATTCCTCCCTGCTCCTCTCTTTTCCACCGTCCTTCACCATATTATTAAACATTTCGACAGTTCAATCTTGATAAGCTTGATGATGTCAAATACAAGGAATGCTCATGTCGGGTTGTACTTGATACTGGGTAATGATGCTATTGTCTATAGACTACTGAAATAGTTTTACTGTGATAGTACTACACTGTGGTATAGAGGTTGAAGTTAAACATTGCTGGTTTATTTACATCAACTCTTTTTCACGGAGTTGGAAACAAGTTTTTCTTTTCTTTTTTTTTTTTGTTTCATCATTGAAATCAACTGAAATTGCACTTTCTAGGTTACTGGAAATGAAGAGTCCAATCACTGAAGCAGGGAAACGTATATATTCCTGTAAATTTAGTCGTGGTCATAGACGAGCTTTTTCAGTGCCAAATGCTAATGGTGATCGTACGCGAATATCTGTTGTCGAAGAGAATGATTTGCCGGTTACTGTTTTTGCTTTTCATTTTATGAAATTGATTTCTCAAGGAAATTTAGTTACAGGAATATTGTGAAAAATAATATAGTTCAAAGACAAATATAGGCGAATTTTATGTATATCCTATGTATCAATTTAAATATATCTATGTATATCTTTGCAAAAAGCGATTCCCCTATTTTCATAATTGTTTTAGTTTTAGGAGAATCAATTGCAAAAAAACCGTGTTGCACGATTTCAACCATATGTGCAGAAGCAGAAAACAGTAACCTATATTTCGAGTGGATTACCAGTTGTTGTACCGGTTTCGGAAGACGATGACACTGATCTTACTATATGTTTTTTTTTTCTACATTTTAAATGTTTAGAAAGCATACTAATCATTTAGGGTAAAAAATGTTATCCGATAATTTTTTTGGACTTATTGAGGATTTCTCGATTTGAAGCTCTTGAATACCTGTCTGAGTAAAATTTTTTAATGTATGTGTAGAATTTTTCCTTTTCTATTATGTGTTGTTTTCAGATGAAAATTAACGAAGAAGAGATAGATCTTCCAAATGAAGAAAATACTAAACGTGGTACTCAGGTTGCCGTTAGAAGGGTATCTGCTTTAATTATTTATTTACCCGACCTCATCATGCTTTAACCTTGCTTATTTCTCATGTTTATTAGAATACATTACTCTTTAGTATTCAGTGTAGGAATCAAATGGTTTAAGATTTGGGAAGCACGATGGAAAGCTACGAATTTTGAACTACTACCAGAATGGTTACAAGATAATGAGTTTTTGCGTACTGGACATAGACCACCATTACCAAGCTTTGGCTCATGCTTTAAAAGTATATTTTCCCTACATACGGAAACCGGCAACATTTGGACTCATATGTACGGTTAGTTAATTTGAAAGTTTGTTTTATGAGATTTTGATAGTGCTGGACAGTAAATTGAATAGACCAAAATAATTTGTATGAATACGGATGCTTGCATTATCAACGCCTTTTTCTATGTTTCTTAAAATTATATCAAATGCTAAATTAAATAGTTGTAACATATGAATTGCGTTATTAATCTGATTTCAGGTTGTGTTGCATTTATTGGAGCTGCAACGTGGTTTTTAACGCGTCCATCAACAGTGGTGCAGTTAGAAGACAAAATAGTGTTTGGGATATATTTTGTTGGTGCAGTGGCTTGTTTGGGATTATCGTTTGCCTTCCATACAGTACAGTGCCATTCTGTTGAAGTTGGAAAATTGTTTAGCAAGTTTGTTTTACATTATCATTGTGGTTATAAAAACTGGAATAATTATATTTATTCTATGGGTGTGGAACAATGTGAGGGCCAGGTTTAGGCCAGAAAAAGGATGTCATTGGCTACTATAATTTAATGCTTAGTGTAATAGTGGTGAAAATTGGAGTTTTTTTTTGCAGTGCATTTTTGATAGAATAAAAACTGAATAACTATCACGAAATAAGAAATGCTGTAGTTGGAAGAACCAAAATATTTTTTTTAGTTGGAAGAACCACAATATTTTTTTATGGATCTAATCGATTTAATTTGCGGGATTGCAGGTTGGATTATACTGGTATTACCTTACTTATTGTTGGCTCTTTCATTCCGTGGATTTATTATGGATTTTATTGTCGTTTGGTGCCCATGATTGTGTATTTAACTATGATTTCCGTTCTTGGAATTGCTGCAATTATCGTATCTCTGTGGGATAAATTTGCTCAGCCGCACTACCGACCTTTACGAGCTGCTATTTTCATAGCAATGGGTTTAAGCAGTAAGCCATAATTGAAATTATATCATCTCTTTCTTGTATATACTGTTCTATTAATAAATTGCAGGTTGCTCTTGCTTGTTATTTGAGCTTGTTACAATTCGAGAAATAGATAAGTTTTTTTAACGCTTTTTATTAATTCAAAAGTTTTGGTATTATGCTTGCTTTCAGGTGTTGTGCCAGCTTTAGATATACTAATTACCGATGGCATTTCATACCTCTTAAATGAAGCATCATTATTTTGGTTTATATTGATGGGTATTTTATATATAACGGGCGCTGTTCTATATGCTACACGTACACCTGAAAAATGTTTTCCTGGAAGATTTGATTTGTGGGTCTGTTTTAGCAAAATCGTTTTTTAGAAGAGAATTCTGAATGTTTGTTTATCTATAAACAATATCTTTTTGATCAAAATATGAGAAAGAGGGATTCGTTTTTGTTGAAGTGATAATTTCAATAGTTTTGTTCATTTTTTCAGTTACAATCACATCAACTGTTCCATATGCTTGTAATAGCAGCAGCTCTAGTTCATTTTTATGGTGTTAGCAAGACAGCTGTGAAACGTATGGAACACGGATCATGTGCTGAACAACTGTTGGAACAGTATGGATATTTAAAAAACCCATAGTTTATACCAAAAATAGTTGATAATAGCTTATGAATAAAAATTGTCATCATATCAAGTTTCCTGTCTTGTAACCACTGAAAAGTTCAATCTTATCGATATTTGCTGATATTTGCGAAATTAAGTTTTAATTTCATCTGTTGCATTGCTCTAGTAAAGAGCGCTGGTTAATATGACGGAGCGGTTCGGGGTCATGTTTATGATATCATAATGTTTTTGGCTTTTGTTGAGTATTTTTTTTCTTTCGAGAATAAGTATAATGCATGAAATTGCCTAATAATTTAAGTGGGATTACTTAAGAAGCTGCAAATTGCGTTACTTTGTGACTTGAGCTGTTCATTTTTCGGAATTTTAATCATTCTTAAATAACCAATTTATGGAATGAAGCATATGCAACTTGAGTTATATTTGTGCTGTCATTTTATTTTAAGACCTCGTTACTTGAAATTTGATTTTACTGAATTTGAGGTGATGCTAAGAGCATTAGTAGTACGAGGTGGTCTTCGTTCGGCTGCAGTTGCAGCGTGCAAAGTACCTGTTGTAATGGCGCGAGAGACGTCTATTATTTTCACCGGATACCCACAGCAAAATAAATTCAGTTTGGATCAAGTAAGACCGCTTCCAAAATATTAAAAAATTAGGATTTTTTGGTAAAAATTGCTGCATTGAAGTTCTAATTGCAAACATGACACTTAACATGTATTCTATTGATTTTTCACTAAATTATTGTTATGGTAACGTTCTTTCCACCTCAACTTTTTAAGGTACGTTTTGCTGCTCATGTCCATTTAACAATGAAAGCTGTCGAACAACGAATTATGCTTGTTCTAAGTTTGTACGATAAGGTATACTTGTGTATTTTATCATTAAGATGAACCACATTTTCCAAATCAGTGCATTGTTGCATTTTCAAATTTCATCAAAATTTGAAATTCATTTCAAAATTCGAAAGGGAGCTTGCATTTAAATCAAATCTACATTTAAATCGAATCCAGTCACTGTTATTAGTTTTAGATAAATTTCCATATAGGAATAAATTTCGCATTTTTGTTTATAAATTTTGATTATGTCATTAGAGATCAATACTTTTTATGGAATAAAAATATTGTAGAGTAAAATACTTCCATACACTTATTCCAGATTGATCCAAAGAAACTGACACTCGATTCGGACTTTACAAAAGATCTTGGATTAGATTCATTGGATTTTGTGGAAGTGATCTTGGCGATCGAGGATGAATTTCGTTTCGAAATTCCAGATGGTGATTCCGATAACATGAAAACACCAAGAGATATTTATCAGTATATTTGTGATAGGAAAGATGTTTACGAATAATTTGATGCTTCATGATATTCATAGTTCATTGTCTTTCGAATCTGTTTTACTTCAAATTAATGGGAGTGCTTTGAATTTGAAACTAAATTTTTTGGTCATAAATTGCTACTCATCCACCAATCAGCTGGAATTAGTTGGCTTCAAACAACTTAATATAGACTCAAACGTAATTGCATCAAAATTTTTTGAAAATCAATATTTAATATTATACATATTATAGATATTTGTGTACAGTGACCTGT